GGGGGGGGGGGGAGCTATAAAATCTACATACTGCTATTTCAAAGTTTTCACCTACAGATGCTATCCAAATTAGAAACTGTTAAAAGTGATCACAAAAGCCCGGCTGGGCGTGGCTCAGAGGTTGAGCGTCGACCTAGGATCCAGGCGATTGGGGTTCGACTCCTGGTCAGGGCACATGCCTGGGTTGCGGGCTCGATCCCCAGTGGGGGACATTGCAGGAGGCAGCCGATCAATGACTCTCTCATCATTGATGTTTCTCTCTCTCTCCCTCTCCTTTCCTCTCTCTGAAATCAATAAAGATATATTTTTTTTAAAAAAGTGACCACAATGGAGTGATGATTATAAATAATTTAATACAGCAAAAGTTCAACTAATTGTATACTTATATAAGATAAAGAGGATTTCAGCTTAATACTTTGGAAAACTACATTTGACAGACAGAACTTTGGTACCTGGCAATGACTCAGGACATCCACAATTGTTTTTTGTTGCTCTTCATAGGATGTGTCAGACAGAACACTTTGCTGCTAAGATTTTAAATATTAAGTATTAATGGTTTACTTCTGTAAGAGCCAAACTGAACATAAAGGATAAAAAACAGTTTATATTTATTTAAATTGTTTTTACTTTTCACCAACGTTTTAGAATTTCAGAAATCTTAATCTAAAGCAGAGACAACATAAAAAACTCACATTAATGATAATAGAAATGACTATTGCTAATTAAGAGAGGGAGTAAGGAAAAGAATTTATTATATTAGAATGACCTACGTTTAGAGTTTTGTACTGAAAATGAGTATTGCTCCCAATTCTCTACTAATATATAAGAAAAAGAGGGAAGTAAAATGGTTAAATGCTCAATGTCTAATGAAAGGAGGCAAACAAATTCATGAGAGAGTAATATTTTTTGAGTGTAGTTTAGAGGTGCTCTACAGTATATGAAGAATTTAAATATCTTTAAAATGGTTAACTGTTACTATATTTGGCAAATGGCAATTAACATTACTTACATTGACATATGCATCAGCAGGCTTTGGTTCATATGCATAAAGAACGCCGTTATCATCATCACAAGTAGATATTCGAGTTCTTACCTAAGGAAGATTTATTAGTAAACTAAAAGGAAGCATGAAAGATCGAACTAAAAAAAAAAACACTGAGGACTTCAATTTCACTTTCAAGAAACTCCAAAAGCCTATCTGTGGTATTAAAGGACCTTTGCCCATTGTAAATAAATACTATGACTACAAGAAAAGACTGGGACTACTTGCAAAACCTCTTGTGTACCTCAGGGTAGAAAGACTAGTCGTCTTCTAGTAATCTGGCACCAGAACTGCTATAACAGCAAATATTTCTAATCACAAAGAACCATGTTACATGGCTTTGGATTTTTAAACCATCCAACAGTGCCACTCTATGGACAAAATAGGAAACACTTGAGTACCTATTTCTTTAAAAAAGTTTATTAAACCTTTATTTTCCTGATTAAGATTTGTTTTAATTAATAGTATGTAAGTTAATTATTGCTAGTGAAACAATAATCATAAAACATCTTCAATTCCAGATATTTCTACATAATTTTTTTACCAAGGCTTTTTTTTTCCAGGAGCACTTTTAATTAAAAAAATTTTCAATTACAGTTAACATTTAATATTGTTTTGTATTGGTTTCAGGTATACAGCATGGTAGTTAAGACAATCACATACTTTACAAAGTGTTCCCCCTGATATTTCTAGTACTCACCTGGTACCAGTTATTGTAATATTATTGACTATTATTTCCTATGCTGTACTTTATATCCCCATGAATATTTTATAACTACCAATCTGTACTTCTCAATCCCTTCACCTTTTCTTGATAAATTATTCTTTAAATCACCTTAAAATATTTTTTGGAATGTTTTAAATAAATAGATAGTAAATAACTATTAAATTTCATTTAGTCAACTCTTTATTCTAAGAATGAACTATGAACTATAGGAATAATTTTAAAATAAGCATAAAGCTATGCATGTCTGTTTCAAATGATATAACCAAAATAATATGGAATTGCTATAGATTAGTACTTATAAAAATATCCTATCTTACCCTTGTATTGTGCCTTATGCGTTTCCAAGTGCTTTCACATAATTATGTCAGAAAAAAATGGACTCTTTGTAGGCAGTTAACATTATCTCCAAAGACAAAAAATGTTAGGACTGATGTAAGTTAAAAAATTGCCTTACCACTTAGGTGGCAGTAATATCTACATCCTTATATAAGAATGTGTTTTCTGTTAAGCCAAATTATATACAGCTTAAAAATTTATATTTTTATTCATCTTCAGGGATCTAGAAACATACAATGTGACAGAACGTACAAGAGCCACAAACACTCTGAAAAACCGTTTGGCACAATCTCATAAAGTTATAATTATATCAACCCTATGACCTAGCAATTCAACTCCTGAGCATTTACTCAAAAGAAATGTTAGTATCTGTTCACAAACTTGTATATGAATGTTCATAGCAGCTTTATAGATCACTGTCACATCTCATGAACTAAACACTTATGATATCTGCTTGAAATTAAATTCAATTTAGAAAAGAAATATAGCACAATGAACAGAACAAAGGCACATTTTTTTTTCAATTTGAAATACAAACCACATCAACTTCACTCGAGCAGCTAGACATCGTTGTGCAACAGGAGCAACTTCACTTCTCTGAGTTGGACCTAATTATTTTTACACTTGCTGGATAATGTATTTGTGAAACCGCTTGGTCACCTAGGGCTGATAAGCCTTCTATTCCTGAAAAGCAATGCATAAAAATGTTACTTTACACACTACCTTAATAAATTTTGTATGGATATGTTCTCACAATGCCAACTCAAACTGGAGTCCTGGTTGAATTTTATAATTTTCCCATTCATGATTTAGAATAAGCCTCTAAAGCTTGAAGGGCTACACTGCCCACTCTCGTAGGAATAAGAGTCAAGATCAAACACAATTCCAAATTGTGAAGTGAATGCTTCACAATTTAAAGGCTAGAGTAAATGCTGGAAACAAGAAAACACCATTCCTAACTGGTTTGGTAAAGGAACCCCAGCATGCCTCCAAATGTGAGTCAGGATGTGTTCCAAATGTGTTCCAGATTGGGTCCCCACCAGGGCGTGGGCTGGGCAGACCACTTGAGACACCACCTCCTCATCTGTCAGGTAAAAAATGGGTGAGATTATGCCTAAGGTCATTTTAGCTCTAAGACTATGGTTGCTTCCATAGTTAAATTTTATATTAAACCGAAATAAATGTATGTAGGCTTGGTTATGGTTCTGAGTCACTTAACTCTGCAAATAGGAAAAAACATGGAGTACAATGTAATCATATTATATCCTGTAGTAGGGATTTGAACCCTGGCTGGAATCCTGGCACTGGAAGGGGAGGGTACATGGAGGCCAGTAATGACAGTCAGAATGGAAAATTAACTCTCAAGTTAGATAAATGTAGGCTAATACTGTGGGAAATATTCAGTTATAAAATACATCCAATTTGAGCTGTAACTTCAAACAAATTTTACTGTTTTGGACTATGTGTATTTTTCCAGATAATAACAAACTATGAACAATTAAATTCTGGTATTTTGGACAAAGGAATAATACATAGCAACAAGAAGAAATTAACTATTGCTATACACAATAAGGATTAATCTCACAACCATAACACTGAGTAAAAGCCAGATACAAAAGAGAACACAGGGTATGATTCAATCTAAAATTCAACAAAATGGGCAAAAGTAATCAATAGCGGAAGAAGTCTTTCAAAACCAATACTTTTAGATATACCTCAGTCACTTTACCAACTTCTTAGTTTCCTACCACACAGATAGCCATTATTCACTTAAACAGTCCCTATTCATGGATGTCCCACTTCTGAAGTTTTGCTCTTACAAAGAACATGCAGAGCAATCTTATACCTCTACCTGAACTCTCACAGAATGAAAATAGCAAGTTAAAAGTTTCCCAACTCTAATAGTATTTTACACTCTCACTGTATGTCTAACAATTTTGTTTTATAGATTTATATACATATATTTTTTCACTATAGAAAATTTGGAATATAACACAAGGTACAGATAATAATATCTAAGAGAGATTTTACTGCTTACTCTGCCAGGCAATGTTTTAAGTATTAGATGTGTTAACTCATTTAGTATTCCTGACAACCCTACAGGGCAGGCTCTATTATTATTCCCATTTTCTTTAAGAGAAATCTGAGGCAAAAAAAGTTTAAATAATTTACCCAAGTCTCATAGCTAGTAAGTGTGGTGCAGTTTGGCTCCAGAGTCTATGTGTCTTCCTTACACAGTCTTAATTATTCAAATCACATGGAATCCCTTCTATAACAATAACAATATAAAATCCAAACTCCTATTAAGGTCTACAAGGTCCTTACAAAGCAAAGTCAGAAGCCTCCACACCTCTCAGAGGTCACCTCTTACCACTTGTCCCTTGGCTCTAAGCTGCCTAAAATATTGACTATCTGGCCTTTTATAGACAAAGTTTGCCAACCATTGTCATACACTCTTACAATCAGACAATTCCCTACTGAATAATTACAGTAATGCAAAAACTTGGCTGCAGCTAGACACAGAAGCCACGAGCATTGAGTCTACCATTCAATTTCTACCTCTGAGGCGCCCATGCACAAATCAACACCTGTCTTGCATTCTGAATCTCTTCACTCCTGTCATGCCTTCTGCCCAAGATATCCTGCCATGTCTCCACCTGGGAGAAACTATTCAACTTCCAGGCTTAATTCAGGTTCCAGATCCACAAAGCAAAGGTACTATGTCACCCCATCTGGAAGCGACACTGCTTTCCCCAGTACCAGAACACTCACTTTAATGCTTTTAAGGCAATTGTCGCACATGAGAGGCAACTTCAAATACCACTAAGACTTAGGCTTGGGGCCAAAATACCTGGGTTTGGGTCCCAGTTCCTCCTCCACTTACTAGCTGTGTGACTCTGGACAACTTACTTAATTTCTCTGTGCTTACTTTAAAAAAATCTGTATAATGGGGATAATAGTACCAACTTCACAGAGTTGCGAGGATTAAATGAATTAATATATGTCAAGTGCTTAGAACAATGACTAGCATAGCAAGGGCACCCACTTTTGGCTACTATTATTTTATTATTTTGATTTAGGCAGGTATTTAATCTCTGTGTGCCCTAATTTATTAACCTGTAAAGTTGGAATAATATCTACTTCACAGGGCTGTGAAGACCAAATGACACAGTTAAGCAATCAGCATCATGTCTTGTTTCATAGCAGGCACAGCAAAAACTTTGTTTTTCTTTCCCTTCTTCCCACAAGGTAAATAAAGCTTGTGCAACATTTTCTTAGAGCCCGACCAGGACTAAATTTTGCAAAACTAGCATAATTCTTTAAATTCAAAATCCTGCAAAATGAGTTTACTTAAAATGCTCATCCATATTTTACGATAGAAAAACTAAATTCTTGACAGCATAAGACCAAAAAGCCATCTGGTTTTTATAAGACGTATTTTAGACATTAAAGACATTTCAAAGACATTTTTCAAAAGTCATTTGAAGATTCTGCTCCCAAGGTACAAGGCATTCACTTGCCGTCAACTTACCACAATGGTGCGGGATGGGACGAAAGCGACCCTTCACCCGAAAGCAAACTGCAAGGAATACATAGCCAAACAGGGCAGATTACAACAGCCAAGCCACTCTATTTTTTTTTTTTTTTTAAACAAAGCTCTGTGCCGCCTTGGCAGGCGTTGCTCGGTGGTTAAAGTCGGCCTGCGCACCCGAAGGTCCCGGGCTGGATTACCGGTTAAGGACCGGAGGGG